CTAATGTACACCCCAAGTCCTGTCCCATAGAACAGGGAGACCACACACAGGTGAGACCCACAGGTGGAAAAGGCTTTGTGCTTTCCTTCTGATGAGGGCATTCTCAAGACAGAGGACACAATGTGAACGTAAGAGAAAATGATCCCGGAGAGAGGAACACCAGCAAATACGCAAGATGAAACGTATATCAGGATGTTATCAATGAAGGAGTCAGAACAGGCCAGCTTGATGACCTGAGCAAGTTCACAGAAGAAGTGGGGGATCCCCAGGTCTGTGCAGAAGGACAGCCGCAGCAACATCAGTGTGTGGAGGAGGGCAATCACCACGCTAATGAGAAGACAGAACAAAACCAGCAGGACACAGAGGCGGGGATGCATGAGGACTGTGTACCTCAGTGGGTGACAAATGGCCACATAGAGGTCACAGGCCATCACTGCAAGCAGAAAATTTTCCAAAGATGCAAAAACTATAACAAAGCAGACCTGGGAGAGACATCCTGTGTAAGTGATGCTCTGATTCTGTGTTTGGAGGTTCACCAGCATCCTTGGAATGGTGCAAGTGCTTAAACAGATATCATTAAAGGAGAGATTGGAGAGGAAGAAGTACATGGGGGTGTGGAGGTGGGAGTCAGAGCTGACCGTCACGATGATRAGCAGGTTTCCCAGGATGGTGACCAGGTACATGGACAGGAACAGGCTGAAGATCACTGGCTGCAAGTCTGGGTCGTCTGAAAATCCCAGGAGTAGGAATTGTGAAACAGCTGTGTGGTTGTGGGGTTCCATGTTGGTGAAGATTCTGGTGGGAAAGGCAGGGTGAGGAGACCATAAAATGTGTGGACAGCAGCTGCAGCATCGGGAAGGTGTCAGAAATGTAAAACTTTGGTCCCCATTCCAGATAGACTCCYGATGCACTCTGGGGAGGACCCCAAGTCTGCTTCAAGGGCTCTGGATGACTTCAATGTGTGCTGAATTTTGAAAAGTTCATAAAGCAAATATCTTTCSCTTGGGCACTGTGAACTTCAGTGAACATCCAGACAATGTTTTCTGCTCTTTTTCTCTTTGGATCCTCTTCACTCATTCCTTTTTCCCCTCCAATCCCTCTACAAAAATCAGTTTTTACTGAATGCTGATGGTGTTCCACTTATCGTGCTAAATATGAGAAGAAACAAAGCCTAAGGCACATATTTTGAATCAGATATGTCACAAGACATTATATAAGAGAGAAGAATGAATTTTTGAAATGTTTCCTGTAAAGCAACAATTCCCTGATTTTGGCTTGGTTCAGAATCACCTGAAAGACTTGTCAACAAGCATATTTCTCACCAACATCCACATTTATGCCTGAGGATACTTAAGTAAGGGGAGGTTATATCATGGATGTAAGATCTATAGTGAGGGCTTGGACAAGACGGGGTTACAGCTCAGATATTCTGACAGCTGAATTGACTCATGAACAATCTCTCTTAATGTCTCTGCATAGCAAAGAACTAACATTCCTAGGTGATCATTAGGATCTCATGATTTTTTTTTGTGTGTGTGTGTACATTCAACATTTTCTTTCTGACCAAAGCCTCTAGCCTTGTCCCTGGCTTCAAAGTATGTCCATCTTTATCCATGAAATTAACAATAGCAGCTGGATGGCATCCATCCAGGCAGACCTGAGCAAAGACTAGAAAATGTTGCCTCTACCCTTGAAGCTCAGGGAGAACCCCCAAGGAAACATCAGTCATCTCCCTCAGCAAATAATTAAACATCAACTTTGCACATGAAATTCTGTGTCTCCTCTTCAGGTAGCTCTTCTATTTATTTGATAATTGGAATAGCATTTTTGAAAAAAAATTGGATTAATGAGAGAAATGTCAGTGAAGTTCATAGAAAAATCTCAAAATGATGAAAACTAAAATGATTTCCTGATATTTAGAAAACAAGCACAAGATAACCCAATGATGAGATAGGCAGGGTCTGCCAGGCATGTCTGTTGGAGCCATGGTCTTTCTAGTCAGAGGGAGGCAGAAGTGCCTATGATAGCTTTCACCACTTGGATGATGTTGAACTCACACACACTGAAGGTCACAGAGGCTCTAGAATATCCTGTGTTCAGGAGAAGCCCTCAACTCTGGATGCCCCATTTGTAAAAAGAGAACTGCAGGAGATGTGTCAAGTCATGCCATCGTGGCCGCCAGATTGCAAGGTATACTCACATCCCACCATCACACTGCACACCTGAACATATACGGATTTTATTAAGTTATTCCCAATGAACAAAGAAAAGACTGCTGTGCATTTCACGATGAGAAATAAGTAGAACAAAAGCACCCAGTGTGGGTTTGAGATAGGGGCCTCAAGCTGACCTCCCCTACTGGTTTCTTCTTTACTGCCATGTGCCCTGCATAAAGCCCTCTTYACTCCACAGAAAGAAGAATGTGTCAGGGCAATTGAGGAACAAGGGGAAGCATCCCCAGCATAGAAAATGCAAAGATCTGGGAAGTGTTTAATGGGCTGAAATGACCTCTGGGATAGATAATTAAAACATCAAGAAGGGACCACCCATTATTACATCAATATTTGTTTGGCAAAGGATATGAGAAAATATACAGTAATTAAAATTAATTTGGKAATTACTGAACGAGATAGTATGGAGCACTAATTAAGGAACTTTAATTACCTGGTTGGCTTCAATTAGAATCTGGTTCAATTTCTCACCCTGATATTGAAGAAGCAAGATGTGTCCTCAGGAAATGCATCAGACTTAATGTTCCAGAAGATCCCGAGGAAGGCTCATCTCTGGGAGGAAGTCCAGGTGCTGCTTCCTGTCTGAAGCAGGGCTCCTGAGAGAGGTGGGTCCATGCTGACTCCTATAGTRCTTGTAAACTTGGCGATCAATATTCAAAGCTCCTCATTAGACCTTCTATTGTACTAACCTTCTAATCCCAAGAGCCCTTGTCCTTGAAGACCAACTCTGCAGAAGAGAGGGACTTGGGGCGGCTGATTCCTGACCCCTGAGGCCATGTTTGCACCACTCAGCTCTCTGCACGGTCTCTGCTGAGCTTCTTTGCAGGGGCCCTGCTCATGGAACACAGTTCAACTCTCTAATGAATTCCAGGGCTCCTTTTCAGTCATGAACAAAGCCATCCCTATTTAATTAATGACTTCAGGAAGTACCATTCCATTTTAGATGTGAAGATAAGTCCTGCATGGGTCAGTTTAAATAATGTTTATAGATTTAGCTAAGATACAGTGATTGTCAGTTTTCAATTGCTGTAACAAACACCTTAATTAATGGGAGGGGTCTTAATTAATTCAGCTTAATTAATGGGAGGGGTCTTCTGGCTCATAATTTAGGGGTTGATTCATAGTCACTTGACCTATTGCCTTGGGCCTGTGATAGTGTAGTCCACCATTGTAGTATGTGGCCTTGGGGACCACCAGAAAATAAAAAGAGATAGGAAAAACCATCTCTATGGCCTTCCCCAGTAACCCAATTCCCTTTAACTTTGGCTAGGAAGGTTCCACTACTTCCCTGAAGCCCTACAGGCTAGCCATGAGGCCTTTAATGCATGGACATTAGGGGCAAATAAAAAAGCTGTGATCTTGTAAAAATGCTCAGTGTGTTCCTAGTTAGTCATCATGGGGTGTTTGCCCAAATGTGATAATTTCTCACATACTTTATGAAGATCTTATTATTATTTTATAATATCCCCTTTGTGCTGTGTTGAACTTGTGATGGAGCTGGGTAGGAAGTCACGTGGACCAGGCGTTCTCAAACCAGGCATTCTCAAACTGCTGGGAGTTCCTTATACTAGACTGTCTTGTATAATGTATCCCTCATCATTTTAATTTATGCACAGTTCATAAATTAAAAGGCTCCCCGCATAGACTAACTCTGAAATCGTGGCTCATTATCTTTGTAGAGGTTTCCTCCCAGCCTTTTCAATTTCATGGTTTTAGCTTCAATATGTATACTTTCCAAGTACTACATGTCGCAGATTTCAGGAATGCATGTTTCTTATCAGTATTTTGTAGGAAATTCCARATGAGCATAAAAGATGTAACTTATGGAAAAGGAACCTTTGTGGTTGTAATAAACAGGGTTGGGGATTGCTATCTGCAGCCACATAATTTATGGAGCTACRATAATGTCAACAGAAGACATAAGCTATTTCTGGGAGAGGTGCAGAGAAYCAATTGTTTAGACAAGAGAGTCCAGAGAAATAACAGCTCAGGAATAAAAGGTTATTTATTACCAAATTATAGTTAAAAAGGAATAGGGATTTCTGTGACGTCTCCAATGCAAAAATAAATTTCAGGGGGTTTCATGCCTCTGTACTAAAAGACAAAACACTTAAATCCTTTGGACTCAATTAAGAACAGCATCTAACATCAACATATATTGAGCTCAAGTTATTGGGGAATATATGCACATGTTAATATATATTACAATTAACCACTTGTGTGTATYCACTGTAACCTTAAAATAGTAAATTGGCAAATGTAATAACTAAAAAGGATTGGCTTTCCAGGTAATAAACCACTTTTGCATGTTAGCACAAAGACAAACACCTCAATAGAAATATCTCAAACACATACTTTCAAAAAAGGGGAAAAGGGAGTCACTCAAATAATGTTTGAAAAGATACTCCACCTTATAAAAGGAGGAATGCAAATTAGGAAAACATTATTCCATGTCACCAGATCCTTTAGATAAAGGAAAGTATTTCCTGATGATGTGGAACACCAGGGTCATCTGATGGGCAGGCAAGTTAATTTCACCATGTAAGCAACCTGGATGGAGTTACACCCTCGCAGCCACTCAACCCGCCACAAGAGTAGAGCTATCTTACATTTCCTCCAAGAAGTGTGAAAGAGAATGTGCCATCGGCTTTGTGCACAAGAAYAAAAAATGACTGACTTTTCTCAATATCAGAGAGACTCTCTGTTTTATTGCTACCCTACATCATGCAAAAATAGGGCAGAAAATGAATGTGCACCTGCTAAACCCAACAACATGACAGACTTTCAGATGTTCAGTGGTGAATGACAACCAGGWCCCAGAAATCAGTCCTGACCTTGAAACCATGTCAAGGTCAAAAGGAACAAATTGATGTAATAAATGGGGCAGGTGTGTATACATGAATGATAACTATTCATTAGAGTCACACAAAATAAGCTTTCTAAACAAATGTGTACTTGCTTTCCTTATAAGATTATGTAAAATTACACTTAAGGCCCCAGGGAAATAATCTGTGATGACATCATTCTCTGCAAAAAAAAAATTATATGAATTCATTCAACCTCTTATCACATAGGTTCTATTAACAAGTGAGGAGGGCTAGGGTATGGATGTGACATTTTGAGGGACTTTTTCTAAGTGTGCCAGAGCAAAGTGTCTGAAGCCAGAATCCCTCCTTCAGCCTCCTCTTGTATGAAACTCAAGGAAAGAAATTGTGCTTGGAGAATGGAATCATGTGTCAAATATTACAAATGAGATAAAAAGAAAAATCAGGTTTTAAACCAAGTTATAATGCACATGGACATTAGATGGTCTCATCAGTTTAGAAAAAAATATCGTGACAGAAGAGTCAGGGATTCTGGTTCCAAAGTTCCCTTTATCTTACTCTAGAAAGCCAGGTCCATGCCAATGATTCATCATAGCAGAGAAACGGTCCTACCCAAGAGTTTCCTCAAGGCCTGCTTCATGTCCCTGTTCCTGAGACTGTAGATAAAGGGGTTCAGCATTTGAGGGACAATAGCATACATCACTGAAGCYACTGCAGAATTCTTGG